TTTTTTTTTTTGAGACGGAGTTTCGCTCTTGTTAGCCAGGCTGGAGTGCAATGGCACAATCTCGGCTCACCGCAACCTCAGCTTCCCGGGTTCAAGCTATTCTCCTGCCTCAGCCTCCTGAGTAGCTGGGATTACAGGCATGTGCCACCATCTCCAGCTAATTTTTTGAATTTTTAGTAGAGACAGGGTTTCACCATGTTGACCAGGATGGTCTCGATCTCTTGACCTTGTGATCCACCTGCCTCAGCCTCCCAAAGTGCTGGGATTACAGGCTTGAGCCACTGCACCAGGCCTCTGCCTTGTTTAATAGGGACTAAAATTCTGCTGATATTTTAAGTTGCTCAGATTTTCCTTTGCCTGATTAATGTACTTACTGCTTGTCAAGAGTGATTTTGCCTTTCCTGGTAATGAGCTTGATGTAGAAAGGCCAGCCTGGGAGAAGCTTTGCCCATGGGACAGGTGAATGAGATATTCATTCACTGATGTAGTGAACCCTGTCTGGGGATATGTGAGATACAGGACAAAGTGTTTCAGGAGATAATTGAACTCGAACTTTTTAGAAAGAACCTTCAAACTAGTGAACTGCACTTTGTTTTTTCTATTTGAATGCACCTCCAAGAAATATCAAAGTCAGGATATTTTTGGAAACACAGAAAACAGCAATATTTTCCTAAAAATAGCTTACATAGTCATGTGACTACTCAACATGGAGTAATAGGCATGGATAGAGCTAGGTTTTGTGGAGCCTGAAGCTCATATAATTTCAGGAGATGCCTTAAGCTACATGACATGCTCTCAGTTGTCATTGGTTCTGCCAGTCCTGGACGCATTTCCTGGGGAGAACTCAAGGTTCAACAGCCTTGAGAAAAATCCACCTTTTTGTTGGGTTGATTTAGAAAAAAACAAACCAAAACCAAATCATTCAAAAGTACTTAATAAAGTACACATTTGCTAAGAGAAAAACCTCAAAAACAGAGTATTTTAATTTGAAGTTTTCCCTTTGAATCAGAATCAGGTTTGACTATAAAAGTGTAAAATAGCTTAAGCAATTTGGAAGTAATAGATTCAGGATTTACTTGTGGCTCTAGGTTTCTGAATGACAAAGATGAAATTACCTTGGGTATGACCCCACTTACTTTTTACAACTTCTGAGGGGTTGATTTCATTGCACAGAGTTCCACAGAGAAATTGTATCCACTCCCACTTGCTGTGGGACCTCAGATGGTCTGATTGCTTTAGGCATCTGCTGCTTGGTAATGAGTTTTTTTTTTTAATTTTTAAATTTCATTTTTTGTGAGTACATAGCAGGTGCACATAATTATGGTGTACATGAGTGTTTTAATAGGCATCAATGAGTAATAATTACATCATGGAGGATGGCGTATCTATCCCCTCAAGCATTTTGTTACAAAAAATCCAATTATGCTTTTTGTTATTTTAAAATATACAATTAGATTGTTAGTGACTATAGCCATCCTACTTCGATATCAAATATTAGGTGTTATTCATTCTTTATATGATTTTTGTACCAATTAACCTGTCATATGTCTTCCAACCCCATCTCTGGTAACTATCTTTCTACTTGCTATGTTCATAAGCTCAATTGTTTTCAATTTTAGCTGCCACAAATAAGTGAGAACAAGCAATGTTTGTCTTTCTGTGCTTGACTTATTTTACTAACTCAATCATCTCCAGTTCCATTCATGTTGCTGCAAATGACAGGATCTCATTATTTTTTATTGTTGAATAGTACTCCGTTGTACATATGTAGCACATTTCCTTTATTTATTCTTTCATTGATGGGCACAGATTGTTTCCAGATTGTGGCTGCTGTGAACAGTGCTGCCATAACCATGAGAATGCAAATATCCCCTCAGTATTGTATTGAGTAATTTTTAAAAAACTATGTTATTTATGTCTGAATATTTCTGAAAGGGATAAGACCAAAGGGATAATGTGTTCTTTCACATTACAGAGAATTATTTTTTCCTAGTTTGATTCTATAGCATAGAATTATATGCTTTTAATTTCTCTAGGAAAAGTCATACATTGTTGGGTATGGTGACTCATTACCCAGTGCTATATTACCCAGTACTGTAGGAGGCTGAGGAAGGAGGGTCCCTTAAGCCTAGGAGTTTGAGATGAACCTGGGCAACATAGTGAGACCCCATTTCTAAAAAAAAAAAATAGCTGAGCATGGTGGTGTGCACTTGCAGTCCCATCTACTTGGGTGCCTGAAGTGGGAGGATTGCTTAAGGCTGGGAGGTCAAGGCTGAAGTGAGCCATGGTCATGCGACTGCACTCCATCCTGGGCATCAGAGCAAGACCCTGTTTCCAAAAATAAATAAATAAAATTATGCAATTATGCACCTGTGGATCTTGTGCAGGGGATTATTTAACAGCCCCTATAATTGCTCAATTATGGAGTACTTTTCATGCTCATTGACTATTTGATGAGAGTTTAGACACTGGTGTGTTACCTGTTAAATTATTTCTTTTTTTTTAGGTAAAAAATAACTACAAAGGCTTTATGACACTGTAGAACACAAATCAGGTTTTATGTAACTTAGAAATCTCATTCTAACATTCTTTTTAAAATGCCTGTAAATTTTCAGTTGCAAAAAAAATGTGCTTTTACTGGGTTGTTCAGTAATAGGTTTATTACTCTTTAGCATGTGTTTGTTGTATATTTGCTTAAAAGTCAAACACTTTGCTTAAGAATTCTTATCTTTTTGGAAATCATGCTTTGACATAGGGATCTCATATATTCTGTAGGAGTACACATAGCATTGTGTGACACTATGCGTGCTTAGTTTGGCTGTTGCTTTATAATAAATTTCCTTTTCTGGGTCATTAGAAACTTTGGTCTTTAATAATAAAATAAGATGTCTGGCAAAAAACGGGTAAAATTTATCCTCCTTAGATTTTAGATAATGGGTATTTTCATACTCCATAATGGGTTTAGTCATATGAGAAAAGCCAAATCAGAAAACGTTTGACATTTTGAGTTTGAAATTAAAAATGACATGATTGTTATATATGGGTGAATAGTATTCCATTGTGTATACATACGATATTTTCTTTATGTATTCATCTGTTATGGGCACTTAGGTTGACTCCATATATTGGCTGTCGTGAGTAGGGCTGAGGTAAACTTGGGAGTGAAGTTATCTTTTTAATATATTAATTTACTTTCTTTTTGATGTATACCAATCAGTGTGATTGTGGGCATATGGTAGTGCTAGTTCTACTTTTCTGAGGATTCTTCAAGCTGATCTCCATCATGGCTCCA